GCCGTGTGCACGCATGCCTCAGCACGCAGCCAGGAGACCCAACACACCCACCACCAGCAGCAACGGTGTGCGCACCCGCGAAGGACCGACGCTGCCGTCCGCACTCCAAACATCACACAGGGTGACGTCTGCAGTGCTGTCGGGCGAATTCGCACCAGCAGCGTCAGTGTCTTTACTCTTGTCTGCGGCATTGTGTTCCTGTGGGGTGGCGGGGGTGGCGCCCGTCGTCTCTGGGGCAGCCCCGGTGGCCCCACCCACTGCCGTCAGAGAGGTTTCCCTAGGCTTTATTTCCGTAGGGTCTGAGCCATTACCGATTGGCTCCGGGGATTGCGGGTGCCCTGCAGGAGCTGAAGGCCACACCACATCTGCAGGTGGGCTGGGGGGCTCCTGCTGTTCAGAGTGGTGGACGGCAGTGGAATTATCGCTGAGCTGAGTCTCTTCAGGATAATTGTTGTGCGACTCTCGGTGCCTTATGTCTGTGTAAGGGTGTGCGACAGGCGGGGCTTCTGTAACTATCACCGGTTCCGCCTTTCCTTCCTGTTCAACAAAGGTCAATGCCTTCTCCAGGAGCTGCGTCACTAGCGCGGCACTCTTGGAGGCATTCTCGGCGCCATCATACGCCGCAGTAGCTCTGGTGATTACAGTAGGTGCCTCTTCGAATGCCTTCTTCAACATCTTCTCGGTTTCCTCAGCGGCCTTCATCAACTCTTCATATGCCTTTTTCAGAGGGCCTCCCCAAATCTTGCGCGTGTTTTAGTGCTTCTTCGGCGCTCTGTGTTGCATTGAAAGTGTACTGCCAACCCGACATTGCATTTAGCATTGCCTCCCCAACACCTGTGCTGGTCTTTGTTCAAAATGCCACTATTTCGTCCTTTTTCTTCCACGCCTGCGTCACAGATTCAGATGCTTCCAGTCCCACATTTGCTTTTCGTTCGTCCCACACGGCGCATGATGTGCCGTGACGTGGCGGACCGCACGTGACACCGACACATCGAAAAAAAAAAGAAGCTGTCTTCCCTACAGCAAAAAAAAAAGCGTCATGCACCTTCTCTACCTCATCGGCCGCTACCTTCGCCAGTTTCACTACATTATTCATCCCATTCCCTTCCTGCTGCTGTTCTCCTCCCTTGTCAAGGGCTTTCTTCACTTCAAGCAGTTCAACGGCCTTCTTGAGGGCACTGTCTGCCACAGTCCTAGTTTTCTCTGCTTCTGCCTTAAAATCATATACATCTGCCTTCACCTCATCTGCTCCTTCCCTGGACTTCTCTGCCATTGCCTTCACGCGGCCAAGAAGATCATGTGTTGCGGCGTCATCCTGAGTCATTCCACCAGCCGACACGCAGCCACACAGGCAGCACAGCGCAATGACCAGCGCGAAAAAAAAGCCACGCTCAACCATCCGTATTATCACTTTTGCTTGGAGCTCACTAGTCTGCAGAGGGAAAGAAAAGACGCACAACAAGGAAGCACACAAGTATGGCAGAACAAAAGAGCAGCGAACCACACAACCCGATGAAGAATTAAAAGGGTAATACATCACTCAACCAAAAAATCAGTGGCAGAGCCCAACAAACCACAGAAAACAAGCCCCCCAACAACCCCAAGGAAATGATGAAAACAGAAAAGAAGAGGACTGCAACAGCCAACGGGGTTAGCCTGCAGGGGTGCACACACACACACACACACCGGAGAGAGCAGCACCACACATACCACCCACCAACAGCAGCAGAAGCAGCCTATCACACACAGAGAGTCGCAGTAAAGGATGCTTTGTGAAGGTGGGCGAGACGCAGTGACGCGCCAAACAATGCCCAAACAAAGGGGGAAGGAAAGGCGCCCGCACTGATGATCCCAAGCAGGGCGGATATCGTCGTGGAACCATCAAGCGGCGCAGAGCCCGCAAAGGGGCAGCAATGAAACGAGAAACAAACGGCCTCTGGATCCGGAGCACACATTCACCAGAGCCACACACACACAATTAAAGGGGGAGCCATCGCCCACGGCACGCGCACAGTGCCCAGCACACACCGAGGGAGCCCACAGCCTCCGCAAGCAGCAGGAGTGGCGGCAGCAGGGCACCANACACACAATTAAAGGGGGAGCCATCGCCCACGGCACGCGCACAGTGCCCAGCACACACCGAGGGAGCCCACAGCCTCCGCAAGCAGCAGGAGTGGCGGCAGCAGGGCACCAATGTGTGATGCGGCGCATCGTGCAGGAAGAACCATCGAGCAGATGGACCAGTTAGTGGGCGACGCACAGCCATGCGTAAATCAGAGCCCAAGCAAGAAACAAAACAAGAGAAGTGGTGCACACCACCGAAGCAATCACACAAATGATCAGCAATTATATTTCTTTTTATTAAATATTTTAGAGTGCGGGCATTCGCCTCCACTGCCGCACACAGCCGGGTGGGGCATACATCGTGTCGGGCACACACACATGCCTCAGCACACAGCCAGAAGGGCCAGCGCACTCAGCAGCAGCAGCGGCACCCCACGCACCCACGCAGGACCGTCGCTGGCGTCCGCTCCCACATCACTGTGTAGCTTTTGAATACCAGCCGCTGGTGCTGGAGACCCCTCTGCGTCGGTATTCCCGTTGCCACTGTTTATTCGGGTGGCTGTGGTGTCCTCCGTGTTGGGCTCCAATTTTCCCGCTGCTTGTGTGCCTGTTGACTGGCCCTGTGCATGTTCCGAGGGGTCTTCACGATTCGCGCCTCTCTGACTTGTGCGTGCAAAGGGAGGCACTTCCGGCCCCAGTGCTGGGGGCCGGGTTGCCAGAAACTCTAGACGGATTCACCGTCTCTTTGTTCATTGAGGCCAATCTTTCTTGCTCCGCTAATCTTTTTTGCTCCGCTATTTTTTCTTGTTCCTTCCGGCGGGCCTCCGCAGCAGCAGCAGCAGCAGCGGCGGCAGCAGCGGCAAAAGCAGCAGCAGTATCAGCCCTTCGCACCGACTGCCTTGCAGCCTCCTGGAGTCTCTGCAGAGTGCCGGCATCATCTATCGCTTTAGCCAACACTTCGACGCTCTTCGCAGCTTCGGTGACCTTGCTACATACCGTTGTCGCGTGCTCCGATGCCTCTGCAACCTCAGCCAATGCACCCCTTGCATCCTCCGCCATCGCCTGAACGACTTTCTTCACAATATCGCTTTTCTTCACCTGTGTGATAGGCGGCGTTGTTTGGATGGCCGGGTTTAAAACCCTTTCATCGAATTCCTCCGGCGTCCAAAGAAGGTCCAACGCCGCCGAGGAGCTCACGTAGACACCGGCCGCGTAGTACTCCGCGTCTGCAAATTCGCTGATTGCCTTTTTCGCGTTAGAAATGGTCTCATGCTCCTTGATTTTAACATCTCCCACAGGCATCTGCATGCCTTCATCGAGTGATAGACCGACTGCATCGCCGCATTGGCAATGCCGCCAGCAATGAAGGCATTCTGCCTCAACGCGTCCACCGTCGACATCGCCGTTTTCAAGGGCTGTCCCAACGTCTTCATTACAGCTTGCGCATCATTTCCTTCGACACCGCTTACTTCCGGTTGTGTAGAAGTATTCAGTTTATCGGCCTCCTTTGACACCTCCTCCACCTTACCCTTCGCCTGCTGTGACTCAGCCTGGAGGTTCTCCGCCTGTTTCTTAGCCTGATCCGCAAGTTTCTTGGCTTCGCTCAGTGTTGCATTGGCCGCATCCAGAAGACGTTTCGCTTCCTTCTCCACACGCGCGTCTTCCGCCGCACTCGCAACGCTTTCTGCTGCCTCCCCCTCTGCTGCAACGCTCAGGGCCGCGGAGCACAGCACAGCGGCAAGCACGAACCACACGCAGCGCATCACAGCTTTCTTGTTGCTTCGAGAGTTCAACCGGCCCGCAGAGAGAAGAAGGAGATACAGAGATGATCGCAAGACAAACAACAAAGAAAAGCAACAGAGAACATTCACAACACCCTGTAGCACATCCCACAGTGGGAAGCGAGTTAAACAGACACTGCGAGGCTCTCCACTGAACACATACCGGCACCAACCTGAAAAAAGAAAAGCAGCGCACAGGAGGAGCGGCAGCAGCAGAAGCAGCGAAAAAAAACAAAACAAGTAACAAAAGACAAAGAAAAGGGCTCCAACAGCCAAGGGGGTTAGCCTGCAGCGGTGCACACACACACACAGCGGGGAGAGCAGCACCACACAGACCACCTCCCAACCGCAGCAGAAGCAGCCCGACATGCGCATCGTGGCGCAGGATCCACAAGATATATATATATATATATATATATAAATATATAGAAGAATTATTCAAAGAAGGCTCTCTCAAGTGGGCGGCGCACAATCATGCGCCAAGCAAAGCCCATTACAACAATGAGAGAGGTGCGCCGTCCTCGTTGGATACAGAGCACAAGACGTATACTAAAAGGTGCATTAGGTGGGGCGGGGGAAACAAACGAAAACTAAATGAACCGAAAAGTAAAGAAAACCAAAACATAGTTGCATTCAATCTCCAGGGCAGCACACACAGGACACAGGGTGTGTGCGTCTTGCCGTGTGCACACATACCTCAGCACACAGCCAGGAGGCCCAGCACACCCACCACCAGCAGCAACGGTGTGCGCACCCACGAAGGACTGACGCTGCTGTCCGCACTCCAAACATCACGCAGGGTGACGTCTGCAGTGCTGCCAGGAGCATCCGTTTCAGCAGTTTGAGAGTCGCCACTCTTCATGGATTCTGCAGCTGTGTCCTTCTCCAATGGACCTGGTGGAGACTGTTCTCCGTTAATGACCGTGGCATCAGCTCCCGGGAGATTGCTGTCAGGCGCATTCATATCAGCAGTAACCGTTTCTCCACCTCTCTCTTCGGAAGAGCTGTTCTCCGGCGGTGGTGAGTACGCCTTGACTTTCTCCTCCACCAGACTTATTCCCTTTGCAATATATTCCCCCATTAGTGCAGCTGCCTTGGAAGCATCTTCTGTGCCCTTATTGGCCGCCTCAGATTTACTGATCACTTTGTCAGCCGCGGCCAGTGTCTCCTTCAACATCCTCTCCGTCTCCTCAGCGGCACTCACAAGCTTTTCATCCTTACTTAGAGGGGCTCCGGTTACCTTTAAGTTCCATGCGTGTTGTTGTGCTTCCCTAGCTTTCCGATTTGCTTCCTCAGTCTGCTGTGCCACGGACCTCATCGCTTGGAGTGCTTCCACAGCACTGTTTTCCGCCGCCGTTAATACCGTCACGGCTTCTTCCATGTTCTTCGACGCTTCCTTCAGATCTTCAGAGTCTTGCACACCAAGCTTCGCGGCCAGCTTTCTCCACGCACTGTGCGACGACGTCACCCAATTTTGTGTACGCCTCACTGCAGACACCGAAAACGAAGCGGAATTCAATTCGAGATCCACAGTGAAATATGCGGTGTTTGACTGTTGTGCTGCGAGGGTTGCCAGCTGTTGTGTGTTTTGCACGTCCTCTTGTCGTAGAGCAGCAGCATTCACAGCCGTTTTTAGCCGGACAGCTGCATCGTATGCAATTTTAACTGCATTCCTCGCCAGCGGCGCCGTGCTGTTGGCTGACACTGCTCTTTCCTTGAGTTCTTCAGATGGTCCAGAAGACGTTGAGAATTCTCTGAGTCATCGGTACTATACCACTAGCCGTCGCAGAGCTGCACATACAGCACCCACGTGATGAGCACTACGAACAGTACGTGGCGCACAATCATCATATTTTTGTTGCCTTGGTAGCTTGAGGTTGCTGATGGCTGAGGGGTGTCAAGGCGAACAGCATGCAACACACACACAGCGGGGAGAGCAGCACCACACAGACACACAGACCATCACCGCCCGATGATGAAGAAGAAGAAGCCCAAAAGGCACAACACGGTGCCGCACACAGAAAGCAGGTCCATTTAAAAGATGTTGTGTTTTAGTTCACAACGCGCAGCGATGCGCAAAGCAATAAACGATGGAAGAAAAAAGATGCCCTCTTGCCGCACGGCAGAGCAAAAAATTAGCATCGTCGACGAAGGATCAAACGTCGGTCAACGCAAAGCAAGGAAAACAAAAAAAAATTAAAAAAAAAAGAGAGAGCTTCAAACACACGTCTTTTTGTTCTTCTGTGCAGCACAACAACTACATGTTCGTGCATCTTTGTCCGCATACACAGACGCGGGTCAGAGCGCCATCAGGCAAGCCGGCACCACCAACAGCAGTGACACACGCATCCACACAGAGCTGTCTGTGGCGTCCGCACTCACACCGTCGGGCAACCGGCTGTGCACATGGCTCGTGGGCGTGAACAGAGGACCGGAGCGAACATCACGAGTACCCGCCCGAGCGGTGTATGCACCCAGCTCGCCATCCGAACCATCTGTGGAGCGCCCCATAGCGGCATCGCCGTCTTCACCATAACTTGGGGTGGATTCCCCGGCTTCTGGCTGGGAGCCCTTCTTGTCATGGGAACGTTCAGCAGCAGTACTGAGTCCAGCCATGCCGTCTGCCACTGTGCGATCAGTAGACCGCCGTTTAGCGGAGCCCGCGGGCCCCTCAAGCCTTCCCTCTACCGCCGGGCCTTGGGAGACAGGAGATTGTGTGCCGCGGGTATCAGTGTCAGTCAGAAGTCCACGCCTTTCCGGGGACTGTGCAAGCGGCACATCGTCCATCGCATCCAGTGTGATCATGCGGTCCGACTTATTTCCCGCGGCTGTCGCCGCCGTCCTCTCAACAGCCTGAACCGCACTACCCACAACCTCCGATATTTGCACAGTATGCGTCACGGCGTCGCCGGTATAACTCGATGCTGCAGCTGCCTCCTCAGCCGCGGTCGTAGCAGCATTCACCGCATCATTTGCGCCGTCAGCCGCCTTCTGAGCTGCCGATACTGCCTCGGCCACTTGCGGCACGGTCGTGCCGGTAGCGCCCGCATGGAGCTCCCCTTCCAGAACTTTGATCAGGTGATCCATCGCGGCTTTGGCGCTGTCCCCTGCCCGCAATGCGTTTTTGCTTGCCGTTGTGAAGCCAATCGATGCTTGCTTAGCTTCCGTCGAAACCAGTCCAAATATCGCCGCTGCCGTCTGTGCCTTTGGCATTGCCTGACTTGTGCCCTTCGCGGCCTTCTCAAACACCCGCTCCATCTCAGTAGCCGAATCACCCGACGCCTCGTCCGCGAGGGCCGTCGCACTCCTTGCAGCCTCCAGGGCCTCCTGGGCCTTCGTATTTGCGCTCCTGGCCGCCTTCTCTGCATCTATCGCCTTGCGTGCTGCTCTCAAGAGCGCCTCCTTTGCCGTGTTGGACAGCTCCATCGTCTCCCTGGCTTTGTCTGCAGCTGCAGTGGCTTGTTCCCGAAATGTGGCTCTCGCAGCTTCATCCTTAGACTTCTTCGCCAATCTGTCGAGTTGCCTCATGACAGTATTAGTACCCCTCGCTGCCGCATCGGCTGTCTCTGCTGCGGCTTCGGCAGCTACCGCCTCGATGTTGGCGCTCTCTGCCTCTTTCCTCGCTGCGTCCGCGTACCTCTTCGCCTCTGACACCGCAAGAATAGCATCAACCCCTGCACGCATCACGGCATCGACCGACACCGGCTTCCCCTCTGACCCCACCGCGGCTGCAGCAGCGTGAATGACACCAGCGGCCATCGGCTTCCCCTGCAGCGGTGCGGGCACAGCCGTCACGCAGCCACACAGGCCCCACAGCACAGCGGCCAATAGGAACAGCACGTGGTGTTTCAGCATCACCTTCCTGTTGCTTGAGTAGCACAATGGTCTTAACATGGAAAAGAGACCAGGCACAGTCAGATGCATACATCCATACCGCAGCTGGGAGAAGGAGCCGCCGGCACGCACAGCGGTGCATCCAATCAAAACACTTATCGAATAAAAATCAAAACAAACCAGTAACAAAATGCAACAGAATCCAAGGTTACANCGCACAGCGGTGCATCCAATCAAAACACTTATCGAATAAAAATCAAAACAAACCAGTAACAAAATGCAACAGAATCCAAGGTTACAGAATACACAATGCACCCAATGAGAGAGCCCGACGCGGTGGCGTATGGTCTGTGTGGTTGTATTGGTATTTATTTCTTGTCTAAAGCTTGCCTGATTGTTAAATATGAACCGAGGCATCTCCCTCTGTGCCACCGACCAAGGGAAAAGAGAGGCGGTTCGGCACTCCACGCAACGCAGAGACGCGAACGCCAAGGAAAGCGGCAACG